ATGTTCAAGGAATGAATCTCTAACTAAAAAGCATTGGTCCGTTCACCAATTATTCCTCATCTTTGCTAAAACAAGCGACTGTCAGTGCGGTGAACACTCCTCGAAAAGGGCGTTCGCCTCACTTCACCGTGGCACGTTTTCGACATTATTTTTACACCCTTTAAAAATACAGTGTTCCATTCAATACCACTCTATTCAACAATTAAAAAATTGTGTGTTGCTCAAAATAAGGCTGCTGAAAGAGTGTAGCTATAGCTGTAAATTTATGGAACAGCCTTTTTACATCCTTAGGATGTGCAACATCTTAGTGTGTATTTTTATAGTTACTGTTAACGGCCTATCATTCCTACCTGGTCACGTAGCCAGAATTTTGTTGCGGGGGGGGGGGGGGGGGGGGGGAGGGAACCGCCCATGACGAAATGCTTTATGGGGCAGAGGGGGGAGAGGAGGCCCCAGCAAAATGAAAGATTTGGAAGGAAAACCGAGCCTTCCCCCGCCCCTGGATACGGGCCTGTTCCTACCCAAAGAGCAACAAGAATGCTCAAGAAAAGTAGAGACTAGATTCCTGGCTTTCAAGATCCCCGGAAAGCTTAGGGCTTAAACCTGCATACTTTCCTTCGCATGTCGAATCACTAAAGGTCGCTAATCATACCACATCGTCAGATATGCTATTTGCCAGTATCACCAGGTTGATGGTACTATTTTCGCGGAAATATATGCGTCAGTTAAACCAATGAGCGTATCATATCATTTGTCATCATGCCAAAGGTTCTCTTTCTTACACTTTGTTTGCCTCTAAACAAGCTTGGACCGTCAGCAAAACGAAAGTTAACGACGCAATTTGGAAACCGAAAACGCCTAACAAAAAAAGCCTTCTCAAATGACGCATTTAACCGGAAAACCGCGTTTCAACCAAATCGCTTGACCCCGCTGAAACCGAGAGGCGTGTTTCCGAACATTTTTCTTGTTCGCCTCGACCACCGGACCTCTTAAAATGTTAATCGGAAACCCGAGACGTAAATCGAAAGCTCGAGCGCCTATCGCCCCTACGCTGACAGTGCGGTGGAAGCTACAATGGCTCGTCGAACCAGCCATACATCGCCCCGTGATCACGCTCCCAGGTAGATCGAGGTGAGGCAACACAACCTAGGATATTCGAGACATACGAACATACCCCCTTTCACCCATAGAATGCGATCACAAATTAATGGCGCCAGAAAAAAAAAAAAAAGTACCCGAGTTAGATGCTGAGCGGTCTTCGACATGTTGATTGGACGCGAGGTGCAGCCGAATGTTGACGTAGCTTTCGTGTCCAATCTGTGTCCAATCGCTCGATCTCGCTATGATGACGTCACAATTTGAGCGCAGAGGCTTTGGTATTGTCGGTGTGTGTGTAGGCGTTGCAAATGGTGATTAGGGGGAAGGGGGGGGGGGGGGTATTGTTGGTGGTGTTTGGGTGAGGCTATGAAAGGGAGGCGATTGATTGGTCCGGCGAGTGCTTATAGCTTCCACCGTACTGTCATCTTAGGGGGTGAACGGAGCATAGTGGCATGCAGACCGGCCGCGTGTCAGGTTTGCGAATCCAGATCGAGGCAGAACAAATACCTCGTAAATAGTCCTGCTTTTTACCCGTGGCAGTTTGTCTTGGTGCGGCTCACTTGAAACCGGAGGAACCGCTCGGCATCTCAGACGAGCGCGTCTCGTTAATTGGACGTTCCGATGGGGGACCCACCACTGAGAATCTCGCTTTCAAGGTCACGGTACGGGGGAGGCCGAAACGTTCCCCCCTCTTTGCGCTTAGAGCAAAGGCTGGAGGCCGTGCTTGCGGCCCTGACATATACTAACCTCTAACCCTCATGATTACAAAACTAAGGACTTGCCTCTTTTTTGTTGTTCTGTTTTTTTTTTATGCTAACGAGTTTTTGTGGCATAGGACGTAAGCGTGTCCAACTTTTTGTTTTTGCTTCTTCAGGTGCTAAATAAGATTTATGCAGCTTTGAGTGTCATTTATGTGCGCAGTGTAAACATGGGTCATCAATTACGACATGGTAAAGAAGCAGCGTCTATGGTCCTTAATTTTAGGCTGTCTGCGTCGATTGTTATTGTGCTAAAGTAATTAACATTTCTTTATGGCTCTGATTTGAGTGGAACAAACGGGTTGTGCGGTATTAGCGGTGTAATGTTTTATAATAGATTGATGTTTTGAAGCCTTGTCATTAGTTTTTCCTTTGCCTGCATACCATGCTTGCCAATTACGCGCAATGCATTACCATAGCTGCGACTGAAGGCGAATCTACAAACGCTAGTGATTTCGCTCGAACGATGCTGGCGCTAAATATGTGCCAAAGATTAGGTTATTTTTCGCCTACCCTGGGGATTGGCAATGATGTTCGCAACAGCAAATTTATTCACTTTACTTAGCTTATGGTTATCTAAAATCTAAACAATGAAGAAAAGGACGGCACATAACAGAAAAAGTACAACATACTAATTTGTATTCCAAATGTTATCATAAAGCCGAGGTCACCCTCACACAAAAGACAGTCTACAAACACTAGTAACAGGGTTTGAATGCCGCGTGCCAAGTTATTTTTTCCTTAAACCCATTGCCATGCGGCATTCGAAGCACGCATATCGCGGTGGCTCGTGTTCGAATCTCTATGCAGACTGTCTTTTGTAAGAACAGTATGACCCCTGCGCAAAGCAACATTACATACTAAACAATTCAAGCAGAATAGCAAATATAGTTCGCACCAGCTAAATCAACACGGAGAATCGAGCGTAAATTGGCATAGAACATTCATAGAAAACTGTAACTTCTTATTTCTCATGGTTTTATAAAACTTGCCCGGGCTCAGTATCGCAAACGTTTTTTACTCCCACGCTTAACAAAATGCATTCACCCACATTCGTTTGATCTGTGCTGTCTCATATCATTCGTATCACCCACGATTGGCGTAGAAAATCACTCGCAATCGCTATTAGAGGTTCGCTAAATCTAATTTATTTTCTAAAAAAAAAAAAAAAAGAAACTGCAGCAAAACGATCAGGACTGTACTGTATATGCAACAATAAAATTGACAGGAACGTGCTCTACCCTTTCCTCGTTATCTCCTTTGCCTTCATCACAACGTCAGTCTTCGCCACGTGCGCAGACTGTAAGTGAGGTGTCTCATTTAAATGGAAGTTCAAATATAGATAGTCAACGCGCGACTCTTATCATATTAACGACGCAAAAGGCGCGTATTTACATATCGACCCAACCATCAAACTCAGGATTCACAGGCAAGCGCAATTAGTCGCCACTAAAGCACCCCGATTAAAGCAAAAACAAATACACAAACAAAAAAAACCCTCACGCTTTGTATGTGTGTGTGCGTTTTCTTTTTTGAGTCGCCGCAGGCGGTGCGCGTACCTCCAAAGCCGCGCGTAATCGCTGCAGCATCCAGCAGGGGCACCAACGTGACAGGTCAGCGCGGGCCGATGTCATTCACCGGCACCACCGCGTCATTTCTGAGCACACACGTATCATCGGACAAGCCCCGGCGTCCCCCTACCAAACGCCGGGAAAACATCGAGGGCCATCATTTTCTTCAAGGTCACGTTACACTGTCCCCGGGAAAGGAGGGCAGCTCGCCGCGTCTGGACCGGTACGAAAGTTACCGACCAGCGGGGCCAATCGTGAGTTGAGGATTACGTTCTTCGATCTGGCGAACCAATCACCTACCGGGAATCGTTGACGTCACTGCGACCAACACCCGAGTGAACTAATGAAACGTGAAGAATTGGCTATGGTGAGGATACGTCATCCAGTACCTTAGCTTTTGGTGCATCTTCGGCTGGCTCAAAGTATAAAACAAAAGGAAAGAGGGTGAGGGTGGCGGATAGAGAGGGATCCTGCCACCCCTGCATGCAGGATTGCTGGGGAGGCGAGCAAGGGTACTTTTTTTTATTTTGCTTAGTCACCATTCCGGCCGGGGTTTCCGAAACCATTTAGCATCGGAGGTGGTGCGTGTAGCACGGATATTTTAGTCTTCGACGCCTTGCAGGCGAACGAGGCGGTCACGGTGAGTGCTGCTGCTGTGAAATTGAAAGACGTTTTGCTTGCTCGGGTCCCAGGTTTCAAGAATTACTGCTGCCAGAATCTACTCATATAATTCTAAGGTACTAAAATTGAGGGATACGAACGAGCAGTGCCTTAAAGTGAGTTATATTTTTAAATCATTCTTCGTAAGTTTTCGCCCAAAACATCCATTTTTAGAGCGAGTGCTCCGTGGGTTTAAAAACATCTCGTAATGTGCAACTTTAAAAGTTACGCCAAATTCTACCGGTGCATTTTTGCGTCAATTTCATTTTTGGGAGATTCACCCGATAAAGTCCTTGAAGAAGTAGCACGAATTTTCTTATGTAAACCATGTTTCTTTGCACTGTTTAGTTAGCTTAAATTAATTGCAATAAAATTAATCAGCGACGGGCAATATTACGTATCTTGGAATGTTGGATCGGTCTGCCGAGGAAGTGCGCGAAAATGAATAATTAATTGTTTTGAAAGTTAGGTCAACGTGATGGTTGCAAGACCGTGGGCTTGACAACTTAAAACTGTGGTAATGAGCTGAAGTGTATCGGCATGATTTACAAACATGACGTAGGTACATTTCAGTTCAAATACTGACATTGCATCACCATTCCTTTCAAAATCTTACCAAACTTTCAAATTATTTTGTTTTTAGTGACCCCTTCATACCTTAAATATTGCAAACTGTTGATTAATATTTTTAATACATTGATTTTACTTTGTTTCTTTTTTAATTGTAGTTTGTAAGTCAGAATACAGCCGTTGTAGTTGGAGGCAACGCAGTTTTCGAGTTTACCACAAGCATTATTCGTGAGATCAATCTTTTCAGGCTTATCTTAAGATTAATAAATGAAATCATGTAAGAGCACCACGACAATGCTAACTCTCTTAATTTTTTTTTAAATTTTCAGGAATCAACATGTGGCTAAAGACCTTACCTTTGATGGGTGCAATTATGCTTGGGATTCAGGCAGCAGGTAAGCGCACAATTTATGCTACCGTTTCTTTTTTCTTTTTTTTTTTTTCTAAGAGATTACTGAGTATCTTTTATTGAAGAGAAAATGCGACAGGCCTGCTAAACGGAGGACGTATTTCTATTGCAAGGGTCGGGTTCCACTTGACACAGAGACAAGACTGCTTGCTACAGGCGCAATAAGAGTCAATTGCAGTTTTGCTTGATCGCCGACATTTTCTCGTGGTCAGTTGATTAGCCTGAAGCGTACACAAAGGTTGTTAACTAGGTACATTTGACATAGTTAAGACTGGTGTTGACGGTTTGTGTGCCTACGATCAGCGTTTGTGCCGGCAGGCTATGGGAATGATGTCATAGAGGGCGCGGTTCCTCAAATCCACCAGAAACATATGATATATTGCGCCATAAAAAAGTACCCTGCATTACTCTTAGACACTAAATAACCACATTGTACCGTGTACATATACAGTCTACAGACACTCGTACACCGTTCTACCAGCTCTTCTAGACGATTTTGTGTGACGCGTGAACGAAGGTGAAAATGTCGTGATTATAGTTATAAGTATACCACAGAATTGTTCACTCCTCGCTGGTTACAATTTTTGTTTGTTTACGCAGATATGAAGCTAACTTCTTACTAAAGGAAAAGAAAGCCAGAATATTTCGGGGTTGCAGCAACCGGCATTCCGCGCTCCCATCGTTTCAGGCTGCATATTACCTCAACTAGTACTATATTTACCAAGACACCGTCACGGACGGCGCATACCTTTCACGACCACGGGGCATTATTATAACGTAACGATCAGATAACCTCTCCAGAAATCTAGGTGCGCGTGTAATGAATAAATGCGAAACTTCCTAGACATACAGAATTGCTAAGCGGGCCATCCAGCTTCAAAAACTACCTCCTATAACGTAGGGCTCACGAGGCGCCAGCCCGGACGCCGGACGAAGTCAACCAGTAAAACAAGACAAAAAAAAAAAAAATCAGTCAGTTTGTTTTTTTACGAGAAGCGGCAGAGGTAGATGTAAGCAACCATAGTGCTGGATGTCAGAAACTCGAATTACGAATTCGGTGCTATCGAGCGTGCTGAAGAAGGTTCGCGGATCTCCCCTTCAGCTCCATAACCTCATGTTTCCCACATCGTGACATTTACTGCTCGAGGATCATATAGGGCCTAGGCGCATCTATATACAGCGTACGCTTACATTGTATATTAAGCTCGATCACACCATTTAACGGAAGCCTGAAGATGTTTGCTCTCATATATTTTATTGCCCCACGTTTGCCGGGGGAGACATGCAGCCGGAAAAAGAGAAATTTAATGCAAGGACACTGTTTTGGAATCACTTAACATCAGTTCATCCAGTAATTGAGCGAATCTCACAATCTTGGATTTCTGATGCCTTCAAAGATCACTTCCAAAAGAAGCAAACAAGCTTCGCAATCACCTTACCTCCATTTGTATAGAGAGTGGTGCGAGTGCTCTGCGTAAAAAAGCGGTTTGGTAATTCCTACTTAATAACTAAGCTACAGCAGATTATTGGCGTTGCACAATTACTTTTTTATGCAAAGAAAAAAAACATACATAAATAACATATTTTGGTTTTTATCTTTCATCTGCACCATAAACACTCACACTCAAGGTGTAACACTTCCTGGCTTACTAAAATTTAGACAAATATCCCGACTCGACGATTTGGAGCGTGCTGGTAAGTTACAGGTACGAGAGGAAAGCGACGTAAAGAACGAAGACAGGGCAAAACACCTTTATGTCGCTTCCCTTTTATCCCTGTATGCATCTCGAGCGTACTGTTCTTGCTTCAATGTTTGGACGCATGTTCCCCCGGCAGATCCGAAGCGGCCCGTCGTGTGCTACTACTACGGCGCGGCGCAGATGAGGCCCAGTCCGATGAACTACGCGGCCTCCAACATTCCGGGACACCTGTGCAGTCATGTGACCCTGGCCTTCGTCACCGTCAGCACCGAGACCTTCGAGATACAGAGCGCCATCTCCAGCTACATGAACAACACCGGTAGGGGGAAGGAACCGCGCAGCTTTTCTTCTTTTTTTTTTTTTTTTTCCAGAGATTGGCGTTTCGCAACCTCCGGAGTGTATACAGAGTGTGTCAGGCTCCCGAACCGGGGAAGCTGCAGCAGCTGAGAGCACTTCACGCTCGCGGGACGCGTGCAGGGAATTTACTCGACTCTGGGAAGTGCGAGCCGTATCCTCTGTTCCGGAGGCGGCGTAACCACTCGCGTCGCACCTGCCAGACAAAGTCCTCGCCTTGGTTGCATTCGACGACACCAGAATGGCACCTCAATGTGCGGCTAATGGCAGCCTCTCGTGGGCCCGGTTTCTCATGTTTTCCTATTAAAAACATGCCTGTTTTAGTTTTTTTTTTTAATTTTCTTTGGGTGCGCCACGTTGTGTAGGACTTGGCAGTGGGCAGTTGCGCTACGCGTGTTTCTTGGAAACTGCTTCATCATTGACCCTGTTTCGTTCGTTCGTTCCATAGGTGACGTAGATTAATTTCCGCAGTTAATTGGCCAAAGTCTGAAAATTGCTGCACAGCCCCTTTAAAGGGATACTACAACGAAATTTCGGCGATCATTTTTTGGTCTATATGTGTTCAAGGGAGCAGTATCACATCGAACACACCAATATCTTGTTAAAAAAAGTCACAAAAAGTAATTTTAAAACGAATGAAACGATTAGCAATGAGCACCTAGTGGATGTCGCTAACGCCTCGTTTGTAATGCCCGTCTACGAAACTTGACAGGTAGTGACGGAGGTTGTCTCGCCTCCGGCCACCACGAGAGAAGAGGGGAAGGAGGAACTCCCCTCTTCCCGGGAATCCATTTTGTGTGTCCCAGAAGTCGATATTGTCCATCTACAAGATGATGGAAGATTAGCCCGCCACTCAAAATTCGTACGAAAGCTGCCGCTTCAGTGGCTGGAACGACTAGGCCATCCTCTCGACGTCAGCCTCGCCCTAGCTTTGCTCGTCCCGAGACGACCTACGTCGTCTCGGGACGTCGGATTGCGTCGGATGTCACGTGCTGTCCGCTGGCTACTCTGAGCGCTTGCCAGAGCGGGCCGTTTATAACGAAAAATACAGCAACCAGCCTCAAGATAAAACGTGCGATTGTCATTTACGGATATTGTGGATCATATTCAAACTATTTTTGAACACGACGGTTATATTTCGAAGTTCGTTGAAGTATCCTTTTTAACGGCGGCAATAACAGTTTTATGAACGCGATGAAGCGGACAGATCTCTGGCACGGTGTTCAAGTCAGCGTCCGTCAAGGTTAGAGCAGACGATTCGAGTGGAAAGAGCGCGCGCCCAGGAACGAAAGTATTTCTTTTTTAGTTTTGTTTGTTTCTTTTTTTTTTTTTTAGTTGGGGTGTCCGGACGGCGGAGACGCTGTCGGTTGAGGCTACTCGGTCGCGCGCCGCCAGAAAGACATTATCTGGTCGATCGAGCCACAGCCTTCGCTCTGATGTGTGTCCTCACCTATATATATATCTTACACCGTCGTTCCGGAACATCAACAAACATATACGCGTTTTTTTTTTTTTTTAATAGAAAGGAAGGGCACGTTGTCAATATACATTTAACGTTAGCTACAGAAACGGCGGCTGGTGGATAGAAGGTAGATCTAAATCAGAGGATAAAGCTGATGTTCCTCCGTAGTTGTTTTTTTTTCATCTGATTATCGTATATATACGGCAGCAGCAAAATTTGACGAAAGACAAACATCGAAGTGGTCCGTGATGTTTGCCCAAGACTCACATGCTCCACGTAGGCGATCGAAGAACACAAATTAAACGGTTGCTAATTAAGTTGTGGTTAATTTCCTGCTACTAAACGAACGATCTTGACCAATATTGTTGGTCACGCTTATTAATTGACATTAGTGAAAGGCAGAGGGATAAGCCAGGACAATCCTGTCCTATCCGGCTACTCCCCCACAGGTGAAAAAGTGATTAGTAGAAGGAAAAAGAAGTGAAAGTATGATAGAAAAACATTTTAGTCCCTTCTTGGTCGTAATAGTGTCTCACCTTCTTCGAGACGCGCATTACAAGTGCTAGAGTGACCACCCATCCCGCGACTCGCGGGACTGCCCCGCATTGAGGGCTCGTGTCCCGCGTCCCGCGAGAAATCCCCAAATTTTCAAAATGTCCCGCAGTTCACACCGTCGTAAACTTCATTCTGCAACTCATGGTGCTGCCGAACAACAGGGCACGGGGAAGCGTAAAGGTCGCTGGTAATCGTGTGAATCACGATGGTACGCCGTTTTCTATCCAAGCATTGCGGGAAGCAACCGTCGTTCTTGCAGGAGAAACGACGTGCAGGCGCCGTTGTGCCTCACAGCGGCGCCTGCACGCCGCTGCAACGGTGCTGCACAACGGCGCCGACGTGCAGGCGCCTGAGGCGTTGTGCCTCAGGTTACTTCAAAGAGTTAAGGAAAGCTTAAAAAAAAATAAAAGATGGAGTTTTGTTGATATTTACGTGCAATTTTACTACTTTTAAATAAATGGCTTAAGTTACTGCATTAATAACAAAACTATAATAATGGCTAAGCAAATATATTTTAGGGGCGAAGCTCCTTAGGGCGGACGGACGGACAAACGGACGGCCTTGTCCGTCCGGCCGTCCGGCCGGCCGGCCGGCGTCCGTGCTCACATAAAAAGAAAAAAATGTCTGCGCAGTCGACAGGATTCGAACCGGTGCGGAGAGACCCCGATGGATTTCTAGTTCATCGTCTAAACCACTCGGCCACGACTGCAGGACGAGTAGGGGGCTCTGAGATGTGGTAGTAACTCAAGAGCTGGGGTTTCTGTCATGGATGAAACGTTGCATGTAGCCGCTCAACGTCTATACAGGTGAGGGCGCTGCATTTCACCGACCATAAAGCTGCAATAATGAAGTCGAAACGCAACCCGGAACTCAGCACTACCCATGAGAAATAAAAACAAAATCAGCACCATCAGCACTACCTATGAACAATAAAATCAGTATCATCAGCACTACCAGAGCTTCGCCCCAATCAACATCATTCACCACGTGAAGATGCGGTCATTTTTTTATATTCGTAAGCTCCATTTCAGGACGTACATTTTGATATATTTTGCTACGTTTTGATAAAGTTGTTTGTTGGTAAAAAAATTCTGAAAGTGTCTCTAAAACGTTTTTTTACGTGCTTAGTCATTTGTTTTTGCATAGAAATGTATAATTGTCATTTATTTAATATTTGGTGTGCACAACGGTAAATTGTATATAAAATAAATGAAACATTTTTTTTTTTTAACTACGTGCCTGCTTTCGTGTGACATTTACGGCTGCACAAATTACCATAATGAAATCTCGGTAATGTCCACGCGTCGCGCTTCCCAATTTTATATCCCTGGAAACAATTTAGCTACGGCGTGCACATATAGCTGAATTTTCCTGCCAAGAACATCGGTTTCAGATATATTTCTTAAAGAAATATATAAAAAAAATATGACCCGGACATTCATTGCACGATCTGACCTGGAGCCACCCCCACTCTTTTTTCCAGCCTTGTTGCTCTAACAACCGGAGGGTTCGTTTTTCCCTTGATGTGCAGTGAAGCTTCTGCTCATGTGATCAATCTGCCCTCGCAGGCCTCTATCGAGAATTCACGTCCATCAAGAAGCAGTACTCGCACCTCAAGACACTGCTTTCGGTCGGCGGCTGGGAGTTCGGCCACAGCGTGTTTTCAACCATGGCCGGCCATTCTTTGGCAAGGTGAGGCCTCGGCGAAGTGTACGGCTTTTGAATCGCCATATGGGCGACTGTGTTCCAACCCGTAGAAAGCGTTCTAACAAAGTCGCTAAATACATTTGTACTAGGCAATTAAAAAAAAAAAAGTGATATAATGGAGTAGCGTAACGCCTATAGAAACATGCATTTTTTTAACATCATATACATGCAGGTGGTGATAAGTGTTCGACACTTATACAGTTGTCAGCTCGATGGGGTTGCATGTGGTCTCTGGTACAAGCTACTGCGCAGTATTTTCAGATGTACCAGAGGAAGGTGTAATTCTAAAAGTGGATAAAACAGCATCAAACATTCGAAACAAAGTTGAGGTTGTTCGTCGAGGATATGACTAATTTTCTTTTCTTCGTGCAAGTGCTTTTTTTTAAATTTTTTTAAAGATAAAGTATGAAGTTGCTGAGGGAGGTTCAAAAGACGAGTCCTTGAAGATGTAAATAAACTGCGCATTGTACTACGTGTGTATGGGGATGACAAAGGCTTTTCCTGTAACGACTCTTTTGGTGCAGACGGCGATTCGTAAAGAGCGCGGTGCGCTGGATGCGAGAGTACGGCTTTGACGGTCTGGACATCTCCTGGCAGTACCCCGGCATGCCCATGCGGGGAGGGAACGTCTACGACAAGGACAACTTCGTCCACCTGATGAAGGTATACGGAGAGCAATTTATTCGAAGGAACAGCTGGGATGACGGAAATAGGAACCACGATGGTCGCATACTGTCCACTGAATGCGGTCGGTTCGCGTACGTCGCACTGCTATAGGATGAACTCCTGGTGCGGAAAAGAAATACGCGTGTCTTCTCACGTGGAGTCCCCATGTGTGTGTTTGTGTGAGGACTACGAGTATTTAAGAAACATGGGAGCGTACACTTACTCGCAGAGTTTGCTGAGGTTTCAATAACATAAGCCTTTGAATCGTCATGTTCAGCGTCACGTCGCGGACTTTGGACTCAAGCTGCTGTCTTCATATTGCTCACACATGGCATACATGATACAATAGACAGTGTGCAGACCAGGGTGTCGAACCGGAACCGAACCGAACCGAAAACCGGAACAGAACCGTTATTTTTAGCCGAACCGGAACTGAACCGAACCGAAATCTTCACCGCCATCTTGGAACTGAACCGGAACTGAACCGGAAAAACATATAACGGTAACCGGTTCAAAACGGTTCACGGTATTGTTTTTTGTTAGTATTACAAATTTATTATTATTGGCACGTGTATTCCTCTACGTATTGATCAAATCGTCATATACAGAATTGCAATGTATAATAAATCCTGGTTTTTTGCGGCGCTTTCTTATTGGCACTATGATTAGCCATGTGTCACAATGTCACGTGACGTCATGATGTCAAGACATGCTGTCAAGTAATGTCACATCACGTGACCCCGTGACGTCACGTGACTCACCGCGTTAAGTCGATTCGAATTGAGGACGTCGCTAGATCTATTAACGTTGTTGATACCGTGACGTCACATGACATCACAACTTCGCACTGAGAGTCACGTGACACCATGATGTACCCGATTGTCATGATCCCGATTCAAATGCTCTGGTTCATGACAACCAGTATCGCCGAACATTCGGGTAACGCTCGTGTTCAACTCAAAGATTATGATGGGCCCGAGTCCCACTAGAGCTAGAAACAGAAACAAACGAAAGCGACCAGCGTCAGACACATGCAGCATGTTCGCGATGGTACCTTTATACGGCTTTGAGTTGTTCGGTGCTCGCGAAGTTAGCACGAGTGTTTACAATCCTGCAAATGGTACCATCGTGTGCATGATACTCGTGTTTGAGCATAGCCTTCTTTATTCTACAGAGCCTGGCAAATCGCGAAATACTCTGGTTTAAGGCTAGCCGCTGTCGTTTGTTTCTGTTTGTCGCTTTAGTGGGGCTCGGGCATTATAGCCCAACTAAAATTATATCTGAAGATCAGCCCATGCTCTCTGCTTTGCCAACCCTGCGTATGACTATGATAAACACTGACGGTGTATATATTAGGATCAGATCACGTGGCTGATAGTTCTAATTGTGAGTTGAGGAGGGGAAAGCTGTTTCATTTCTTTCTTTCGACTGTCTGCCATTTCGCGGAGGGGCAGACTAATGGATGCTTTTGCAAGTTATCAACGTCAAGGATTACAACTTAGCGGTATTTATTGAACTTCAGGTAAAAAAAAAAAAAAAAAAAAGATGCTGCACGACTCATTTTACATGTATGCACACCATTGAGGCTCCCAAACATGTTTTCGTTATTGCTGAACTGCCTCAGAAAGTTGTCCCGAGAATAGAAGTGTTAAATTGTCTAAATGTGACGTTTTAGTCGGACGTTACATGGAACTATTAGTGTGTACGGGAGGGATACCTGAAAAGAAAGATCCTAGTGGCCTCACGGGGATAGCCGAACGTCGGCAGCCGCTCTAAGTCTCACAGGAGTGTCGCTCTCAAGTTCTCCAAGTTTCGACCGCCCTGTATTTTGTTTAACCTTCACAGTTTGGCGCAAAGTTAAAGCAAGGAAGAATTACTGTTTACAAGTGACACAAATATAATTGTCGAGTGAACACCACTCAATACGGAGCAGGCAATCCCTGAGGAATAAAAAGTATCTTGAGGAGCAACTAAAAAAAAAGGGAGTGGGGAGGGGGGTAGTTTTAAAGCATACTGTGTCGTAAAGATTCCTCTGCCCCACATTTTCGGCGCAGACTAAAAAGCGTGGCCTGGAAACGATAGTGACAGATGGGTATAGTTGGTACAACTTTTATTTGTAAAAACACTCTTGCCAGAAAGCACGTTTTCGTCGTGCCAGACACTCGCGCCGTGCCTAACGACGATGTACCAACAAGAAAAATGTGTGCCTCTCAAATACATAGCTTGCACTGAGCGCGAAACTTTTGCAGCGTGCATTTTTCCAAACCGGATTTGATTTTCTCAGCAAGAACAACTCGCAATGGCAACCAGTATCTAGTGCGATTACGTCACGTGCAAACCATGTTAAATACTTCAGCTTTCTGGTGAAGTGCGACGTTCGCAACACCAGCAGTAGACGTCCAATGTGTAAAGTTGTGTAGTATTTATAGTAGTCTCGCGATGATATACGGCAGCCTAATAAAATGTTGGAGCACATGACTGATAAAGAACGGAGTCATGAAGTAAGGTCTCAAAACAAGTGCACGTAAAACCTAAGATAACATTAGCCTCCCGAGGTAGTATCCCGCGACGTTTCGAGCTCAGGCAAGCTGATGTCCAAAAGTGATTTATATTAGGATTCTAAAAAATCTTTGTTTGCCCTGCGCGGAATCTATGTTTAATTAGGAATATCATTTTATGCATTTCTATGCATTTCTTTTTGCAGTAAAGCGTTGTGTAAGGGATTATTTAGAAAAAATTGCGTGTCATCTCCTTATTTCTGCACATTTCGTGTATTTGCCTTCCGATATATCATGTGACCACAGTGTTTTTTGACATGCCCTGCAACCCACTATTTTACACTGCAAAACAGCTAACAAAAGCACGTTGCCGAAGACACAACAGCTGGCGTATTTTCGAGTATCGTCCTTCCGTGTCAATCTCAGGCGGTTATGTGAACTTCATAAAGTCAAATTTATCGATGATAATAAAAATATACTTAATTCCTGTCTGAAGATTTGGCAGCATAAATAGAAGATTCTCACCTCCAAGATATATAAGTAAATGCGCCTTTAAACTATCTGAAAGATGTTCGGCAAATATTTTTCGGCGCACGTTATAGGTGATTTTGAAAAGATTTAAATAATGTTTTTTTTTAATTATTTTGAAGCTAATTTAAATGACTATATGTGTTCCTCAAGCATATATAACTTCTCAAATATATAGAAGTTTATTATCGCGTTTTTTATGTGTTTTTACCATCACCTTTTTTTACTGGAACGAATGGTGGAACTATGAAGATTGCACACTTAAACTCTCAGAAAGTGTCCAAATAGGTAGCTTCCGAATTGAGTAGAGCATGAAATACCACTTTGTTCTATTTAGCAAAAATCATCAATTAGCGAGGGTGATGCTTATTTGCAAATTAAATTGACCTGCATTTTGTCAAGAGCAAACCTCATCATCCAGGCTATGCCAGTTTATCCAATATAAGAAAATGTTCACATGGGTAAGCATTGTTTTAGGTCAGATTCGATCTCAGTACTACGGTGCTCATAGGTTAGAGTGAACAATTTCAGCCACTCCTTTTCGCATGATTCGTCGCCCGCATCATGGTGCTGAGAGCAAACAATATGCTAGTTAGAAAAACAAGCATTGCGATTGTCGCTTAGTGTTCCTATAAAATATAGACTGGAAGGACTTGTCCCGTGACTTTCGTGACATTTTGAAAATTATATTCCCTTAAGCTCAGTCGTCTCGTCATCATATATATATATATTGTGAAACGTATTCCGTAAAACACATTTCATGATATATATGGCGACGAGGTGCCCATTTCATGATTGTATTCACTGTAATTAATTCCTTAGTTCAAGGGCAAAACTACGATTCAACATCTAATACTGCGATACAAAGTTGTACCAATCACGGGTATATTAGGCAACCTACTTTACTTCCGAAAACATTTCGATTCAGGTACAATATATGTGACTCTGGTAAACGAAGGGATGTTGAGTCGTATAAACACGACGTTTTGTATGTTAATGTAGATTTTCCTTTCGTGTTGTGTAGGAATAAATAACAGAATTTTATAATTTTGGTACCTGAGAATAAAACTGAATTGAACAAACAATAAAAAAAACTATATACTGTAAACGACTATTTTTCGTGGGCTCAATATTTCGCGATTTAGGTCAAAGCTGAAGTTTTGGAATAATTCGCGGGTTGTAATTTTCTCGACGCGGTGGAATCTCAATATAAATTTCAATCTGTTTACATTTTACCGAAATTGCTCGCGGGACCCATTTTTCGAGAATTGTAGGCGATTCGCGAAATTCTCAAAAATAGGTCCTCGCAAAAATCAGATCGTTTACAGCAGTTAGTTTCACGGTCTAAATAGCGCCTATTGACAGAACAACGCGGAAAATATATTCTCAATTTAGCGGTTCAAACCGGTTCGAACCGGTTTAAACCGTTATTTTTTACGCCCCGGAACTGAACCGGAACTGAACCGAAAGCCGTGAACCCGAACCCGAACCGAACCAATAAAAATATCGGTTCGACACTCTGGTGCAGACATTGTCTGTGGCGTGTTTGTTTCTTGTATGGCGATCCTGTCACATCGGTTGTTCAGAAATATCCACGTGTCCGCGGATATTTCTGTCCATGTCTGCAGAGCACACAGCGTTTTTTGTATGATGTAAGATGTGCCACCATTTTCAGAACTTCCTTCGCACCTTACACTGATTGACTATTCAAGTATAAAATGTTAAAAAAATCACAAGGTTTACTGCTTTTTTTTTTTTTTTTTTTTTTTTTGCGCAAAAGTAAATTATGCATTGCTGAACGCTCATACTCTAACCAAATGTAGACTAGCGCTAAGTGGTCCGAACCAGATGCTAAAGTTTCAGCACTAACCGTTATCTTCTCAAAATTTGTAAGTGCTTTCCTGAAATTTTCAATGGAAAAATGGCGGCCTACAAAGCTTTCGAATACTTATACGGAAGCTCTATGGCGTCAGTTCCCGAACTACGGGCAAAAAAATAGGCCCTAGTTTTTCGTGAAAAAATTCAGAAAAATAGTTATAACTTCTGAATGAAATAACGTTTAGTGCTGAAATTTTAGCATATCTGCTTCGGACCGCTTGCGTTATATCTGCGCGAAAAATGAGTCTTTGGCAAAGCATAATTTATTCACCGTAAAATCCCGAGAGATGATGTCACACCCCCGAAAGATAGCCCACCCCCATTTTTGGTTTTGTTTGCTATATTTCTTTACACACCGCAATATAGCGCACTTTTTGTGATAGTAGCGTTGGGATAGATTATGGCATAGACGCAAATGCGGCTAGTTAGCTATGACGGGACAGAAGGAAACGTTGCTGGATGGAAACTGCAGTCACCTTTCTTCATTGCCCCTCGCCAACATGACAAGCTTGGAAGAAACACGTGATCTGAAAATAGCTTTTTTTTTAGCTTTTCTTGATTGCACACCGAAAGTTAGCCCACTCGACATTTTCATCCGATTTGCTCTTGATGTTAGGTAAGATATATCTCTCAGAAGGATACAATAAAAAAAGAAACGATTTTCTTTATTTTACTGCTCTTTAAAAAAATTTCGTTTTTTTTTCTTGCATTATTCCGAGAGATAGTTTACCTAAAATCACCTGAATCATGCCGGGCAGTAGACGCGCGCGGTGTTTACAGTGTGCGCTATTTACTGTTTTGACTGCGCCTCGTCCGTTAATTGTTGCCCTTCTGGAACCCCACACTCGACTGCCGCGTACTCAACGGAAGTGACCGGTTAACCTCTTCGTCTTTTCAATAAACTGATTGTTTCCCCCCTATCTTAATAGGAGTATGCTGCACTTCTTAGGTGATAGTTTTGTGAAAACGTGCGATATAGTATAAATGCATCTATGAACACACGTTGCTTTTCATGGTCCTGTTCCAGTTTTATCAGCCTCATTCGTTATCTCTCGATGGCGGCAACTGATGAGCAGACCGTGTGTTCTTCTTGAGCGTTTTAGCGAGTTTCTGTATTTTTGTGAGATCTCTCTTCGTCGAGGTTCATGATCTGACTATGACATATTCGGGGGCGAAGGCACCATCGCTCATTAGATTATCGCATTTAAATGATACTTCAAATGAAACTTGTTACGCCGACTCAAGGCTGTTTCGAGTGGCAGAGATTGCCGTCGAAGATTGTCGTTTATTAAGTCCCACGCTTGTGCCCAATGCAGGAACTGAATACGGAGTTCAAGAAGTACGACTTCATGTTGACCATCACTGTTCCCATCGATCCCGTACTGCTCAAGTCAGGCTTCAACATTGCCGCCTTGTCAAGGTGCGTGAAACCAATGTTTGGCGTTAGAATTTATACTAATTTCCGAGAAATAATTAAAAAAAAAAAACATGGGTGAAAATTCACACAGTGAGCTGATTAGTCCAATAGTCAAAAGAATATGTTCTCCGAGAATTCGGCAAATAGTCCTAACAGACCCACCAATAAAAAAAAAATAAAAAAAGGAGTAAAGCTACAAGAACATGTTTGGAGCATTTGATAACAATAAAATAGAGTTATTCTTTCTTACCAAAAGAGCTTGAAATTATTAGCAGTCTAGTTTATGAACGGAGAAATTTGATTGGTCTTACTATAGCCGCAGTCACGTGGAAACAAAACGCACTCATTTTGATTACGCAACCACGCTAAGAGAAAATTGGTTCTGAAGCTTATCTCGCTTGACAGCCAGTGTCAAGTTTTTCTTACTTCCCTATTTTAGTTATAGTATTATGTATACTACTCAGTGACTATTACAGCCACTGACACCTTAGGGAAGGCAGGGTGTTTTGAGTACCGAACATATCATAATCGCTCCATAGCCAATGAGATCGCGACATTAGTGTATGAGAACACCGATAACCGTATCAGGAACCAAAAAAATCGTTAACATAATGGGCCTCGTCCCCAGTGACTATAGACACCAAGAAATATAGAGCGACTGCTCGTCCCATTACTTCGCGTAAGAGTAGTCGCTCCAGATTTCTTACTGAGTATACAGTTTGAAATAAGCCGTATACCCCACGTGTACGAATGTGCATGACTAAGCTGGAAACGTCTAAAGGAGACAGGAAAGAACACGAGGCTACCTACAGAAATCAATTTCACGTCAAAACGTCGACTGCCAGTCTAAGAAAAACACGTGAAAGAATCCCTCTGTTGAGTTTTAACAGTAACAGAACGTGGACCACCCCCACTAAGGGGAACTCGGCCGTCACTCCGAATTCGTCGCTATCCCCAGGTACGTGGACTGGTTCAACGTGTTTGCGCACGACCTTCGTGGCACGTGGACTGGCTACGCGGACGTGCACAGCCCCCTCAGAAGACGCTGCTTCGACGAGAACTATTACGCCGCACTGAACGTCGTGAGTCCGTCCGCTGCTGTCAGCGACGCTGGCTACAGGTTCTGCCATTCCGAATGACGCGACAGGTTGAATAGCAGGCACAGAAACAGAGAAATCGTTGGAGTGTCTACAATCACAAGAAATTAGTTTGAATTTTAATAGTATAAAGTGTTTGTAAAAGGCTCTCCCTACTGTTAGAGAAGTCCTTAAGGTACGCACTGAGCTTGGAAAGTAACTGTGTTACTCGGGTATATTATAGTTGTGCTCTGTGGTAAAGTTCTCAAGTTTGCGATCGAGAATTTTTTTAGAGGGAATATGGATCATTTGGGCCGCACGTTTCATATTCCTCGGAATAGGGAGGGACACATCTTTTTTGATACATTTATGTATTCGGTTACCTACAGCGCCCTTGCTAGGGCATTATTGTAGGGGCATATTGCTAGTTCCACAACCGAAGAAAAATTAAGTCAGTCAAAAATAGTAATGACTTTGATTTTGGGCGAGGTTAATGAATAGGTTATTTACAAAATTTCCCGGCCGTTTGGCAGAAACCAAACTCGCGCGAAGTGAAGCGTCTGCGCACGCGCAGTGCCGTTGACAGCGCCACCGCAGCTGCGTGACGTCAGGGCCGCGTGTTGGTCTTATAGACCAACACGCGGCCCTGAGACCAACACGCGGCCCTGACGTCACGCAGCTGCGGTGGCGCTGTCAACGGCACTGCGCGTGCGCAGACGCTTCACTTCGCGCGAATTTGGTTTCTGCGCATGCGCAGTGCCCACACCTTGTGTGGGCAAACGCGGGCTTGTTTGTAAACAGCGTGTCGGTCTATACGTCAGTCATCTGAGGCAACCCACGGCTGTGGGCAGCCATATTTTGGCCAAGCACCCATCCATTGATCCCAAGTGCTGCGTTTCGCGCGCGTTTTCTTCTTTGCCGCAGGAAGACGGCATGGCTCGCTTGGTGAAGCTCGGAGCCCCGAAGAAGAAGCTCATGCTGGGCATCCCCTTCTACGGCCGAAGCTTTACGCTCCAGGATCCCAGACAGAATTCGCTGATGGCTCCGATCAGGAAGGACGTGTCCGCCATGCCCGGGCAGTTCGTGATGTCCGACGAAATACTTGCCTACTACGAGGTACACACGGGCAGTTTGACAAACGCTCATGACGATTCCTTTTAGTTCGATGTCGTTTGGTGCAGCTCGCGAGACTTGTGGTGAATTGCACTTGTCGTTTTGGAGCGCGCAGGGATCGACGTTTCTGGAGCGCGCCTATTTTACTGGGCGATCAGTATCAAGACAAACGTGTCCACTCGTTGTTTCGGATCAGCTGCCACTCCGGATCTCGATCCGGATCCGAGAAAAGTCGCTCCGCTGATTTCGGCGGATTTGACCGGAAGTCAGCCTGACCAGTCCTCGACGCGCACGATTGACTTTGTTTCTTGCCGGGACCGCAGTCCGGGACCTCGGGAAGGGATTCCCGGGAAGTTGAATGACGGGAAGGAATCCGCCGAACTCGGAGGAATGGTCATGTTTCACTGAGGATCCGGAGGCGGAGCGACTCCGTTCGGATCGCGTGCTCCAACTCGGATATGGTCTACTGATCCCGGCGCGCTCCAAAACGACCCGTGGAATTCACCATTAGAGATCCAAAGTGCGGCTCAAACAAAGCCACAGGTACTTTATGGGGCATATCCGCCATGTTGCAAGCGCGTTTGTTGTGTAAAGACATACACTCGAAAGCTTAACATCAATATGTAAACATTTCTAGCGCTTATCACCTGCGCAAAAAAAAAAAAAAAAAGAAAATGCCGAGTCGCTTTGCTGTGAACGTGTGCGTGGCGTACGATATTACGTAAAAGAAAGCCAGCGCGCACGTCCAGAACGCATTTTACAACCCAGCAGACAAGAATGGCGGCAGGCAAAAGATGATTATTAGAATGGTATATGCGCCGAAGAAATTTTCTTCACACGCGACTTCCCATAGTATGAGGGAGGTTTCGTCACATTTACAGAGGGGACGGCATAAACCGACCTCCTTCGAACTAAGCCACTCAAGTTCATTGATAAAAAATCTAATCACCAAAATGATATTAAAAAAAAAAAAAAAACACGCCAAAGACATTTAAGATGGCTTACGTGTAGGAATGCGAAAGCATTATAGTCCCGCGGGTGAGATGTTTTTGCTCCGGTGGTGGCCATATTACGCTCCCCCACTGCACAAGCGCGGCGCCCCCACCGTCTTCATGGCTTTTGTGACGAAGCATCTGCGTTGCTGTCCTTTTCTTTGTGTTTTATTTCTAAGACGCATCCGCTTATCATCCTCCACCCACTGCGCAGGCGCGGCGCCCCCGCCGGCTTTACGGCTTCCGCTACGAAACGTCTGCGTTGCTGTGCTTTTCTCCGTGTTCTTATTCTGAGGCGCGTCAGCTTTGACCTTGAGCGGCGCTTGCTTGATGACGTATTTTTATGACCCTCTTTCGGGCACAACGCCGACGCCTTTTCGCGTAATGGGACATATCAGGCTTTTGCCTTAAGATACAGTTTAGGTGGTTTCGGTTGCGCATGACAATCTTGTGGCAAGAGGCATCCGTCATCCTTCCTTTTTATGCGTTATTATATTTCACGAGGTGATCATTGAGGAGTACTTACAAGGTGGAATACTCGAGCGTACACGTAGCTGAACAAAGCAGAAGTAACACTGGTGACGGTTAGAAAGCGAGGCGAACCGGCATTCAAACCTCGCGCACGCTGTCCCGCAGGTTTGCATGGACATCACGATGCGTGGCTGGAAGCGGAACTACGACGCCGTGGGCCAGTGCCCCTACGCCTACCGCGACGACCAGTGGGTCGGCTACGAAGACGAAGAAAGTGTCTCGGCCAAGGTAATTGCCGACTGTCTTCGCTCACTTTTGCGGTCAGTACCACGGCTCGTGTAGACCTCTCTTTCGCCGCGGTCACACTGCTTATATACATCGTACAAAAGACAGTATACAGACGTTTCTGAGGCTTCGAACATGCGTGTCCGCGTATACTTACGCCATCATCTCTGCGGCGTATGATGCGTATGCGCGCAGAGTGACTATACGGCTTGAGGCGCCCGTCCGTCGATAGGGCTCGATCGAGCTTACGAAAGCAGTCACGTCGTGCCTGGGTGTTTACGGGGCTTTCAGCTGTTTCCTATGAACGTATACCATACGGGGTGCGCAAACACCGCCCCCGAAGTCGGAGCGCTCCGTCTTCGGGGGTGGTGTTTGCGCTCTTTTGGCCGTCTCGCCTTCGCACTGCCCCAGGCGCCGAAATTCACCGCGTCATAACTCAGATAAGAGTTGTTTTTTTTCCTTTTCTCATCAGCAACTAATCTGGCCTATTAAACAATGGGCTTCAGATTTCTATCTGAGATATGCGAAATAAAGGAAGAATAGCTCAACAGTAAGCAAAGTTCAGTTTAAGAAGTTACTATTTTTCTGATTGTTATACTTATGCCCCGACGCCCACCGCGGCTGATAACGTTATTCTGCGGAAATAATTTGTTTATTTCCAGTGCCCCTTTTTGTTTTAAATATATTTCGTTTTGAAAAAACAAGAAACAGCCTTATCTGGTTTTTAAATTTTGGTCAATATTTTAGGGGGGTGGGGGGGGGGGGGGGGTTCAATATTGTCATGTTCTGCTAAGATATATATATATATATATATATATATATATATAAATTAGCAGAACAAATACGATGACAAGATTGAACCCCCCCCCCCCCCCCCCCGTTATTATATATATATATATATATATATGTTATTTCGGTTTTGATTTTTACCGGACCGATTTACTCATGGTACTTTTTTAAAATTAATTTATCATTTTACATTGCAATCACTATTTGCTTCTCGTAGTTTCTGAGCCATTTTTTCTTTGGAAAAGCATGGGAGACCATGGAAACAGTCTTGAAACATTAAAAGCCACCGACAGCCTGAAAAAAACGTACGTCGTAGTCTATCAAGTTTTCTCGCTTCGTGATTCGTGCTATGGCGCTCTTTGTCGGCGAATGCCGCAACCTGATTGGCTAAGGGGCGATAATAAGATTCCCGAGACTCGCGCCACGCCCGCAGCGTTTATTCAGTTGTCGGTTATCATGGTAACAATCGCTGCAGGTTGACTTTGTCATGGATAAGGACTACGGAGGTGTCATGGTGTTCAACGTGGACATGGACGACTTCCAAGGGGTGTGCGGCATGAAGAACCCGCTGCTAAACGCCATCGGCCAGAAATTCACCGAAGGACATCTGATTGATCCACGCCGGGGATGAGAACCGTAGAATCAGACATGCAATACACGTTCTCTCCGGACGGCGCATCGTTGCGTAAAATGCACGCAAGGCCGAATTTCTTTTTCAGTCGAGAGGCCCGATTCTTTAAGCCACCATGCCGAGGGTTGCCAGATTCTTGTGAGCATCCGACGACCCTGCACGTCCTGGCAGGAGTAAGGAAGAGTCTATAACAGTCCACAGGTTTGACCGTCCCGACTCAAATAAAACGAATTAGAGCTTCCTTGCTTCTTACGTCACCCCCTACTGTCTTAGCACGATAGTCACAGGTGATTATGAAACGCGCGACTGATTGACTGCGTTTTAGTGGTGCAAAAGCACCCGAGGTTATAATGCGCCAGGTATACGTAAACTATTGCTGAGAGAGGGGTAGGGAGAAAAAAGAGCTCTATACTTCGTTTCAGCTTCCGTGCGAGCGCAGCCAAAGCTACGTGTGGCCGGAGCCAATCACACGCCGGCAATGGGTCACGCGATCTCGCCTGCACTTTTGTATCAGTCCGCTGCGCCGCTGGTCGTCCGCGCCGCCCGCGCTCTCCGAGTATTTCGTCTGCTACGGGTGTATCAACGGTATCGTCTGCTACAAGTTCAAAAAGTGCCTGTTCACCTTCTGAAATTTAGTCACAGGGGATGTGAGTACGTAGGCTGACCGCTGGTGTCTGTGTCCGAGCTTTCAACCTGTTCGGCATTTCGGCATAGTTTCGAGACGTAGGTACACAATGCAAGGTGCCCGATGACCCAGCCGCTGATGTTTCCTTGTATTGCCTGGATCTACCAGGGTTCGAGGCGCAGTCCTTTGCACCAGCTTCTCGGCGTTCAATGTGATTGGCAGATAAAGGGGTACCCTTATTTCGCCGCGTATAAGTGATGGCCCGGACGCTTTTCTTGTTTACAACGCATTCGCGGTACGACGCGGCCGGAGTCTCCTACCCAATTTGAAAGTAGACATTCATCACGACCTCTCGCGCCTCACGCCCGAGTGTGCCTTTGTGAAAGTACGTTTTGAAGCGACTCGGTGAGGAAAGCAGCTAAGCACATGATTTGGCCATTACGGGAACGAAATCACTCAGAAAAACCGAGCGCTGCAGCCGTGTTGCCAGCGGATGTACGTATTTTCTCCAAACCACGTGCATTTACATATATTAATAATAACATAAACTTCAGATAATTGAGTTGCAGATCATTCTCAGCAGTACACATCTGGAATATTGTGCATTGTTTACGCACCAAACGGTTACTAAAGAAAAAATACTTTTGCGGACTACTTTGTGGTGCGTAGGAATGCTCTTCTCGAAGTTGCGAACCGGCCCTCAGCCTTTGGCTGCGCTCGGACGGAAGCTGAAACGAAGTATAGTAGGCAAGTGGCAGGATAAAACTGTGAACATGAGGCACGCATAAGTGTGAAGGGATGCTCAAGAATTCAGGGAGGTAAAATGAAATCACAATCGGTGTAGATGGCCGATGGCTTTGAGAAAACTAATAACATAAAAGTCTGGTATAAGAGGTTTGTCGCCGAGTAAAATCATGAGAAGTAAAGAAGTACACTCGTTGTATGCCTGCGAAAAGTGGTTACTGCGTTCTGGGCCATCTGCATGACATTCAAGTAAAATATGAAGTATAGTGAAAGGGCTGGGGCATTGACAATGTTCACACTCAGGGGCATCCTCATCAAGCCAGAGGTGTCCACGTGTCAGCCGCGTGTGGCCAATTCTTGGCGGGCAGAGTACCACCTCGTAGAACAGGATAATTCCGGGCACTCTCCCACTCCCTCAAGAAATGATGTACCATACGCAGCTTAGGTATCGCTTAGCTGGGTATAACACTCATGTTGCCATCATTATGCAACCTCTCCTTGTGATAACTTTTGTGATGAATTTCTTTGGGGTCCATAATGTGTGTGGCAGCAGAGCGTGTAGCTTGATCTGCCTCCTCATTACCCGGGATGCCAACCCGACTTGGCACCCAACAGAAGCTATCACACATGCTTTTGATGACACAGATCATCTTAATCTACAGGACAGAAGACAAAGGGTTGGTGAGACAACAGCTTTTAATGATTACAAGTATGGACATTTGGCTTAGTTGGTAAACGTTCGTGATGAAAAACAGCGCGAAACACAAGGACACAGAGGAGAGAAACTTACATACAAGACAGGGCCTTGTCCTGTATGTATTTCTTTCCTCTGTGCCCTTGTGTTTCGCGCTGTTTTTTAACATGAACTTTTAGTAAGCCTAAGGAGTCCGTGCATATACTACAAAGCTACGAAACTTCTTATTGATATACTCAGCAGCAAGAAGTAGACAATGCAACTCTGCCGTTAAAATTATGGCAGAAAAGTTGATTTCTTTTCCCATGGCGAACAGATGGTCCTAGCACAACCAACAAAGGATTCAATTTTAGTACCATATATGTGTAAAGGCTGGAGTGCTGTTGATAGTTGCTCTGTAGTCCAAAAAATTCGTTCTTAAGCACTTCGTCCTGAGTTTCTTTCTTACTGTTTTTTGCCAGTGTAAAGTCACGATGAACGAGGGGACAATCCTAAGGAGCTACAGTGCTTTTGTGCAACGTCACGCGTGGGCTTGAAATCAAGACCAAAGAGTTCTGCTGAAGTAGTATTCCTCAAGGCAAAAGGAGGAATAAAACTTGTTGGCTTATTTTGAGAACTTCTTTGAAACTGAATTTCAACAATAGAATTATGAGCAGGGTGGAGAGGAACAGCTCTTACTCGGAGTGAATACATAAATTCTAGAGCAAACCCTCTTTTCTCAAGAAAAAGCTCCTTTGCCTCCGCATAAAGACTGGAAATCGGGGAAGTACCAATAGAGAGCCGCAGCCCCTGATTAGGAATAGGATCTAACATCTTCAATACTGGCGCTTTGACTGAACCATACACAAAGCCACCATAGCCCAGACGTGAGTGAACCACTGAATGATAAATGCGCAAGAGACAGTCGATCAGAACCCCATGTTTGATGAGACAGTACTTCAAAAATGTTAAGAGATTTGGTACATTTTACCTTCAATTGCTTGATGCGAGAAACAAAAGATAACTTAAAATTGATCAGAAGACCTAGGTACTTGTGTTCGCTTCGCACCGTTACAGTTAGTTCATTAATGTTTAATGAAGGTTCTTGAAATATTACTTACCGGCAAGAAAAACATACAGATACTTTTTTCTGTGGAAGACATGGAACCGTTCGTCAAATTATTGATTGTCATTTGAACTCTCCTTGCAGGAATGGAACGATTACGTGATAATACTGAAACTTGGAGGTTATCAACATAAATAGATTATTGAACTGAAGATAATATTACACAAGCAATGGAGTTAATTTTTATTTAAAAAAAAGAGTGACACTAAGCACACCGCCTGGGGAACTCCATCTTTTCTGCAAAAAGTCTCGAGAGAAAGTTACCCCCAGATTAACACGACATGAACGGCACTTTGATAGCTTTTAATGGCGCCGAACATGCACCCACGGATACCAGTGTCGGTCGTATCCTGCAAAATTTAAAATTGTCAGGAAAGAAAAAATTGGGTTGTGTGTATGTTTATACAGCCTAGAACTTGGTCTGCCTCAACGGGTGACGAGTCTCCCAGCTGTACATGAGAAATTTAGCCAGTGCAGTACAACCGCTAGCCTGACGTCTTCAACGTGCATTACGCAGTAGTGATACACAACCGCAGGCCGGTACGATGCTCATCCAGATCGAAACGGGTAGGGGTGGAGATTGAACCCAGGATCCTGGGTTCTGCAGCGCGAGCTTTCTCTCCACGTGCTCCGAGCTGGTGTGCGTTAGCCCACTCGGCCACCGGTCCTCCCAAGTCGATGGACAGTAACACAGTCGACTGTATTTTCTTGAAATTCAATAAAGCATTTGATGTGGTACCTCATAAGTTATTGCTAGAAAATCTATCGCATTTCAATATTAAATGTCAAGTGATCTCCTGGAGTACTGAATATTTTCACGAAAGATGGAAGTACGTTGTAGTAAATGGGTAAATGGGAGATAATAGAAAAATTGCTCAAGTGACATCAGGTGTTCTACAAAGGTCGGTTTTAGGAGCTTGATTAATCTTAATTTATGTAAACGACATTGATGAGTCAGTTGCTTGATGCATAAGAATGTTCACAGAAGGTTGCGTAATATATGGAAAAGTAACGTGATAGTGACAACTTCATCATTCAAAGGGACCTAGATAAAATAGGTATACGGTGCAGAAAATAGCGAATAAAATTGTATCTAAGAAAAAAAAATAATGCATGTCTTTCTTTAGAAACCGTCAACCACAATTTCCTTTTATGAAATCAATAAAACTCGTTTAAAAGCGGTTTCAAAATATAAGTTTTTGGGTGTTTATCTCACGCCCTCGTTGTTTTAGCATCGGCATGTAGACTATACCTTAACAAAAGCTTCCAATTTTTTTTCTCTCGAAACATTTCTAACATTTCACAGGTTACGCGAGAACTATTATACTATAAAACAAACGTATTAGATTATGCCTGCACCGTGTGGGACCCTCATTTATCATAGATAAAATAAGTTAGAAAAAGTTTAAAATCTAGCAGCTATGCAATGTTTTAGAAAAATCAGTAAAAAGTAGGGTTTAGTGCGACGCGCTCCAAACAAAGGTTGAAATTGAGTACACATGGAATGCCGCAGAGCAAGTGTTTGTTTGAAGTTTTTCCAGTGTTTCTCACTCCCAGACTGGCATCCCACGTGAAACCTACCTATTTTCTCCATATCCCTTATCCCCGGGTGTGAATCATATTCATAAAGGGAGTGAATAAATATGTGTAAGACTGTAGCTTTTAAAAGTCTTTTTTTTTGTTTTCCAAAAACAGTTTGCCAGTGGAACAAATGACCTTTTACTGTTCTCTCAGTTTTGTGAAACGAGGACTTTTATGTTGCATTGGAAGCGGTAAATGCATTTGACTGATATGATTGTGTAAGGAAATTATTTCCAGGCAGAAGTCTTACT